CTGATTGACATCTAGCAATGTGTCAGGGCAATACATGTGACGGGAAATGTCACGTGGTATGACAAAACCAAATTCGTTCGTTTACCGTGAAACTATAATCCCTTCGTCAATATGATCCGATCAATTACGAGATATGGAGTTGTGTCAATCTTGATCATCGATCATATCTTTCACTCCACTATTAAGTCAATATAAATCGAAAACTCCTTTTCGACTTATGAGTACACCTTGGCCAAGGATTTCATCATTGACTTAATTGAATGAAACGCAGATCATAATCTCCTACTATCTAAGAGTGACGAATCCTTTATTGATCAATCACAACCTTCATACGATTCTTGACGTACCCGAACGATGTCGTATTAGCGGCCCTTTTCAGAGCAACATCCAACACCGCCAAAGTATGAGTATCCTCATATAAGGTACCATGACGACCTCAAGTCAAAGGACTAATTTCACTACCGAACGTTAGAGATTAACCACCGACACTCAGATAGTTATCCATGTGGAATCTCTCGACGGGTCTCCAATATTTTGTTCTATAACAAAACATCCACATGTTTATTTAAGTGTCACCACACTTTAACTTGTGAGATCAGTTACTTACTTCACAAGTAAGAAATGCCACATGTGATGGTCTATCCGTAATAACGATATCCGTATCTCGTTATTACTTACGACCACGGAAGATTTAAGATTCAATCAGATGTAATTTGTATCTCACAATCACAACTCCTTGTGATTAACAAATTACAATTATTTGAATCTACGGACTCTATTATTTATTTAATTGTCTATTAATTAAATAATAGATCTACCATTTAATTGCATTAATTATATATAAAAGTATTTATGTCCAAAGTTGATTGGACCTAGGGCATAATACTTACACAGACATGGTACTTGAATGAAATTATTTCCACTACCTCTAAGTCCCAATTAAAATCATGTTATAGATTACCATATTATTGTTGTTCCGGGTATTTATTTTGGCGGTATAACGATTGTATATGTTGTAAATGAACAACGTTTCAACTCGCAAGAGCGTAGTTGAAACAATATTATTGTAAACAAAAGTTCTAACCTGCAGGAGCGTAATTAGAATACAATGTAAGGACACAATATATGATTAAAACGACCAAACAAAACCAAAATGAAATAAGAAAAAGTAGAAAAAGAAATCCGAAGCGAGTATAACTCTTTCTTTAAGACAAATTGTCCCTCTACAGTGCTTATGGTTGAATGGAAAATGTATCCTAAGATACAACGGATATATACTTATGGTAGTAGCACTTCAAACCATAAGAATGGTGAAACTTCGACAAAATTTTCCCTCTACAAAGGAATGTTATGAGAATGAGAGAAAGATGAATTGCAAGAGAAAAATGGATGCTGAATGCAATGGTGTACTCAAAATCACGTCCATAGGATTCTATTTATAGATGTAGAAATGGTGCAAATGAAGTAGTGTGGGCCAAAATCTGCATTATTTCGAAAAGTTGCAATACTTCATTTCTTTCAACTTTGGGCCGCAATTTCTCATTCATTCGGAATTGATTTCGAGATTCCAAATATACCACGGTGATATACTCGACGAGTGGAATAAGTTGATCTATTTACTTTTGTAATTTGACCATTGGATCGAATTCGAATATTTGACCGAAGTTGACACGAAGTCACACATTTTCATTTTTCCAGTTTTACACTTAAACCAATTTTCGGTTGATTCTGATTATTTTTGAACCAATTCCAACAATTATTATTGATTAGGCCGGGCTAATAACCAATTCATTGAAATTACATTCCACAATGGTTATCTATATATAATGTCTCTTGTCAACTCCATATACCCTTCTTTCTTTTTACATGTTTACCCTCATCAACTTCTTTAGTAAATAGCTACATATGATGAAACAGTTTCATTGGCCTCCTAAGTTAAAAATGTACTTCACTTGTGTTAAGAAAAATAGGATTATTTATTATTTATTAAGGGTAGAATAGTCCTTTTTAGTTTCCTTTGTTTAGCCTATATAAATTCTCTTTATATTTAGATTAAACCATCTTTTAGCATTCAATTAATTACGTAGTATCAATGAAACCCTAGCATCCTCCTTTTTCTTCTTTATTTTCTTTGGATTGTTTAACAACTTGTACCAAGGACAAACTATGGGAATTCATTCTCAATTTTGTATAGATATCACAATGCTCAAATTTCTAAAATTAATTAATTAAGAGAATAAGTAATCGTTTAATTTTACTAGTTCGAGATCATAAACAAATAACCTACACACAAATTACATAACACGATTTTAGATTGTCGAGAAAAATGGATGATTTGTATGTAAATATTTATCAGTTAACATAATAAATTTATATAACATAACAAATATAATTCAATAATAATATAAACATAAGAAGAGAATAGTTAGAAATGCAAGCCTTATGAAATCACGTCAAGAGCGCTATCGTAAAGTTGTGTTGTCTCTCTTTCGTGCAAGTTCTTTCTGCATTACATGGCTTCAAGATAAAATCCATATAGCTTACAATCGATTCTCCTTCTATGGGCACGATCACATGGAGATAAAGAATGAGCCTTTATCAAATTGTCAAAAGTACAATAATATAGTATGAAAATGTAGAGAATATATTCCTTCAACTTTTCTCTCTCTTTTTTTGAGTTTTTTTTATTCTATATTTCAATGAAATATTACCTCATTTTATAGGTGAATATCAACTCCCACAATTAAAACATTAAAATATAAGTTACCATATGAATTATGATGTTTTTAACTTGTGTTAAAATTGAAAATTAAATAAAAAAGTATAAATTTAAATGGTTTTAATATTGAAAGTTAAAACTTTATTTTATGTTACGACAAAATTGCGTATAGGTAGCGAAGTCCAATAAAAAAAAAAGTCTTATTGTTTATGATTTGCATATCTTTCTCAAGAATCTGTACGATAAACATAAAACTTCTGATAAAATCACACCATTAAAAATATTTGTGAAATAAGGCTTTATCATTATATAAAATATTTAAAACGTTAGCTTAATTTTGGTAAAACCTTAGCTTCATAAATATTGGGAAAATATTATAAATTGTGAATGATCAAACCAAGAATCCAGTGAGTGAGTAAGGTACGCGTAAGGTAATTGAATAGACTTTCAAGGAATGAAGAAATTGTGAATGACCCAAAAAATATTTTAGGGTATAAAAAATTGTAAAGTAATACTATTTAGTCTCACCGAAATTACAACCTTAGTCTAAGTGGTGTTAATGTGGCATTTAATGATATGTGAAATTAAATAAATCATTTAATTTTAATTTTCATTCAGCCTATTATCTAGAGCCCCTTAAACTGGGGTTGTAGCCCGAGTGGGACTACGTAACATTATTCAAAATTTTATAGATGGATTTTCCATCTTAAAAGATTGTATACCGATACCTATAGTGGGACTATAAAAGTAAAATAATGGTTCGGCCAAATTAAATTGATTGATTCTTATCTCAACTCTCTGAAAAGCAAAAGGAGTTGTCACAAGACTAAAGTGCCTTCTCGTGTTCGAGGTCAAATTCTCACAAGCAACTTCACCAAGGCAAGGCAAGTCAGGATTTACAACGTCGAGACACTATTCCTTACACGTCGAATGGTTCAATTAAAAAATGGCTCGATGAAACTTAGAGTTAAGGACTCCGAAACAGATTTTCAGTCAAGGACATAAAATTCCATTAGCAAAAAAATTTCAACCAATTATTGCAAGGACAATGCTATGCTTACAATATTAGTTCACAAATAACACTTGGCGGACATTCATTAGGTGTTAAAAAATGATAATGCTATGTGTACACACAACATTACACTCTCCTCACATGGAGGGGCCCACAAATACACCCTTTTCATTTTTACATGTTATACTTGTCAACAAGTTTCTTCCTTGTTTGCAATAGGCTAGAGTATTTGTTCACGAAATTTTTACAAGTGTGATAGTACCTTATTCAAACTTTTTTTCTTTCAAGGATAATTCTATGTGTACACCTCATAGTGTACACAATAAATTACATCCCGCTCCCCGGGTCATAGTCCAGTGGTGTAAAGGATAGGAGTGAGGTTATCTCACGCTTTGTTGGCAGTTCAGTGTGGAGGTTCGATTTCTGAAACATGGAATTTGACTCCTTGTAGGCGCAGTGTACAGGAAACTCTTGTTCCCTGACTTGTTGGAGCACATCCCGCGATTTACCTCCCTCACAAAACTCTAGAGGCAGGACGGTAGGAGCCCTCAAGGTTGGGGTTCAACCTTTTTTTAAAAAAAATAAATTACATCCCCCTCACATGGAGGGAGTCCACATACAACAAAATATTCGTGGGCTCCTCTCCATATGAGTCTGGTGTAATTTATTTTGTAGACCTTATGGTGTACACATAGAATTATCTTTGAAAAAAAAAAAAACAATTTGAATCAGGTGTTGTCACACCTGTAAAAATTTTGTGAACAAAAATTCTAGCCTATTGCAAACATGGAAGAAACTTGTTGACAAGTGACAACATATAAAAATGAAAGGGTGTATTTGTTATCATCAATGACAACTATAAGTCTACTATTTTTAGGAGAACTATACTGGCCTCAGTGTGGTCAGTAAATGGACAAGAATAATGAAGTAGTGAACAAGTGGTTAATATTAATATTTAACTTTAAATAGAGGCTATTTTAACAAGGAAGAAGAATTAAAATAAAATTTTAAAAAAAATGCAAATGAATCAAGAAACAACCTAGTCAATTAATATCCATAGTCCAATGTGACAATTATGAGTAATGTCATTCATAGTAAGTAACTATAGTTGTCATTCATATGGATATATATGTATCACAATTTTGTTAATTAAAAAAAGAAGAAGCAATCAAATGGATTTTCATATTAATAATGAAACAATCATAAGGAGGATATCACATAGGGCGACTATTGTAATCGTCGACTACAAATAGCATTATTCGGCAATTAACTGAGTCCAACTTTTTCTGTCAAAACGAGCTTCGTTTCATCTCGCCTAGTCTAGTCTCAACGATCGAAAGGTCCACTGGGATCGAGCTGTTTGCACAAACCGAGGTAAGTGAGATAAAGAACCCGATCCTTAGCACCAGTACGATGATTCCTGGTATGCTTACAAAAATACTTTAGCTGCTCAAGAGTACAACACCCCAGCATTTGTCCCAGAAGCAAAAACAGCCAGTTTATGGATTTTTTCTTATCGGAAATTATGGGTTTCACACAGTTTTCTTGCTTACAGAAACTGCACCCTGGCAAATTAGGGTTTATCCAAACCGGCGGTGCCCTATCGTGCATGTTGCCTTTGTTTTCTGCAATAAATGTCCAAACTTCGAGGAATTTTTGCTTTAAATCGAACTCCATTTGGTATTTCTTTTCGCACTTCTTGCACTGGACGTCGCCGGAGATGGTGAAGATTTGTTTAGATAGTAGGTCACCGAGGCTGTAAACGGTGGCGCGTTGGTTTGTAGCCCAAGGAAATGGGGCGGGCACGGTGGCGCTCTTCCCTCCATGGGGTGACTGCGACGGGTTGCGACGAACTCGGCCGGAGGAGCCTCCTCTCGGGGCAGCAGCTAGACGGTTCCTGTTCCCTACACTAGGAGCCACCGGTTGTCCGATGGATAGAGGAAAATGTGACTGCAGGAGTTCATCGATTGGGCGGCGATCTAACGAAAGCGGAGACGGAGGAGGCGGGGATGCTGGCCGAGGGTGGTGATTTCCGGGGGGAAGTTGACTCGGCTTAGTATTAGGAAAATAAGTTGACAACGAAAGTGTTAACAAGTCATTCTTGTCTATCTCGACATGATCATGACAGTTGATCTTTCTCTTTTTGATGATTTCTTGCTTATCGTTACCCATTCTATTCAAAAAGAAAAAATATGGGGATACAAATTTAATAGAGATTATATAAGAAAGAAACTGAGTGTTAAACAATTGATTTGGAATTCAAAGGCATTTCAAAAAATTGCGCTCTTCAGACTGTTAGAGATTCCTTGTCCGTCCGCAATTTTGCAGTTTTAGATAAGCTTGTATTTTTTTGGATTGAAATTCAAATTTTATGAAATGAGATAAGATGATAATTCATGTTAATTTATATAAATAATAATAGGAAAAATTGCACCCCTTGTTCCATATCTATTAATATTTAAAAATGAATTATTTCTGTTCAATATTCCAATATAGTTGCACAATCTATCTCTTACAAATATTTGTAAAGTCGTCGCGTGTGAATGTAATTTTTTTTGTTTTTAAACTTGGATAGATGTATAGACGATAGAAATTTAAAGTATGCATGTTCCATGAGTAGACGCAATAATTTAATGAAAATTTGAACACTTTGTATCGATAGGAATTGAATGTGCAACTTAGAGATAACTTGATACTTATAGCAAAATTTCAACATTGATCACTAGTTACAATTTATTTGTATAAATAGTATTTGAAGTTGAAGTCACTTAAAAGTTGAAGCTAAGATAGAAACTATCAGTGAAATTCTAATGTGTCCAAAATTTACAAACAACCTCTATTTTATTATAAGAAAATTCAACAGCACTTTGGAAACTAGTTTAAATTGGAACTGTGGATTATAATGCTGTCGTGAATTTTATTTTATTTTTTATTTTTTTTAATTTAGTCTCGCAAATGCATAAACGCACTCGATTCTAACATTTACGACAATGAGTACTTTTCGAAAACTCTTGATAAATTTTCGTCAAGAGAATTAAAACGAGGAAATCAAACTTGTTTCGGAAAGTAATTCAACAGGTAAGAAAAACGGAAAAAAAAAACTTAATTCTACTAAAATTTCGACACCTCAAATTATAGTGATGAGTCAAAATTTAACTAGAAGATAGCCAATGATATAGCTGGATGACTCACGGTTACAATTATAGGATTAGTATTGATCTATCTATGTTAATTCATGGGATTAAAACATGGGAATTAATTTAGGGTTTGTTCGAGATTGTATAAAGTTTGGTGTTAGTTGATAAAATAAATTGAAAGAAACAGAATTTTAACTGATTTTGAATTCAAGGACATTTTTAAATGCAGAATCCAGATTTTTTCGGGAAAATTGTTGTTAATAGAGATCTCGTCCTTTTTTATCCAATTATATAATTAAATTTTGATGAAGAGTATTACACTTCTTGTATTTTTGCATGTGTTACAATACATTTCGATAAGGTTGTATTCTTTTGAATCATGTGTTAATTTCAATGAGATAAGGTCACAACACATGTTTAATTAAATGTAGTCTCGAATCTCAAATCTATTGATCCCAAGCCTTTTACAATGAGCAAGTTGATTGTTAATCTTTTGATATAATTACACAATAATCAGGGGCGGACTCAGGCTTTTTTGGGTTGTGGGGGTAAAAAATTAACGTCTAATATTTTAAAACAATATATTATTAATGAAAATAAGTTAATAAGCATTTTGACAACTTGAAAATGTCTTATAATTATATTATTACCAATATTGTTATATGAATTTTGCTACATGTATAGTTTTGTTTATCATGTCATTTATGGATATTGAGCTAAAAGTGAATAAATCAAATTGAATGTAGGAAGTAAATGAATTGAAATAAAATTCACATTTAATTTAGGAAGTCATTGAAATTTAAGCTTAATGAAAAATAATTTGAAATTAATTCAAATTACATTTAACCCGTAACGATTTTAGAATTTTTAACGTCATTTTTCATGTAAAATTTCCTAATAAAAGATGTAAATTATATTGAAAAATCTATCGTGCAAAAATTATAAACGTTAATGAAATAATAAATTTTTTTAAAAGAAAAAAGAGTTAAACGTCGTTTTTAGTACATACATTTGACGCATGTTTAATTATTTTCAATATTTGTTTTGACAATTTGATATGAATATGATATAATTCTCGAAATGAGCTTCTAGATGATGCGTGTTATTTGTGAATTCAGATAGTATACGATCATTGGCAAATTTTAAAAGTTAACATATTATCGAAATTTTTGAAATACTAATTTGGAATGGCTTATTTTGATAAATCGTAACTTTTGTTATGGTTGGTCATTTTGCATGCCATTAAGAAGTGAAAAACTAGGTTATGAACACTTCAAAATGATATTAAGAATGCAATATTTTGACTTTATTTGACATGTATTGAAGTAGATCATAAAACGGTTAAAACAACAACTTTCTTTAGAAAAAAATCCAAAATTTTGTGGGGTCATTTGACCCCAAGTGGGTCTGCCTCTGACAATAATTAAGTGTCCATGACAATGAAACGTACATGCTTTCAACTTGAAGTTATTTTATTTTAATTTTTTTAGCTTGGACGAGTGTATAGAAATTTGAATTGAAACACATTTGACGTGGTGATTTAAAGAAGAAATGGATAGTTGTGTCATTAGGAATTGATCGTGGTGAAATTTTTCAAAGGTTCAGGATCAATTTTGCTCCTCAAAATTGGGGACCAACTTGCTAGTGAGGAAATAAGTTCGGGATCACTGGTGAAGTTTTTGCCTTATATTCTTTTGCCAATTTTTTATTGTAAATTCAGCCATTAATTTATTGCATTAATTACAATTTATTAGTATCAACATTATATTTACCATATTCGAAGTCATTTAAAAAGCTAGAGTTGGACGAGATAGTGGCTAGTGTTATTTATCATTGTTTAATTGACGTGTTATTGGGTTATTGTAGTATAACCTCTATAAAGTGATAGTCTTAGAACTATATAAATTTTATTAATTAAAAGATGTTATAAAATGAGAGGAAAAGAGAATAGGAAAAACTCAAAGATAATAGAGAAAACTCAATAAACTTTTTGTGTATATTATTAAAAACCAAAATCCTATATTTATAGGTAAGAATCAGGGATACAATGATAATAATTTCTAGGGTTACAGGGGTACAAATGTCATTCACCAATAAACTTTAATGGACTTTCCATTTACAACACTCCCCCTTGAATGACATATTACAGAATATCTGCCTCGTTAAAACCTTGTTAGATAAAAACCCAATGGGAAAAAAAATCAAACGAAGGAAAAAGAGTACAGTTATTTTGGAGTATTAAAATTAAATGTTGCCTCATTAAAACCTTGCTAGGAAAACCCAATGGGACAAAACATAAGCGAAGGAAAAAGAGTACAGCTACTCCCCTTGATGTTGATCACTGAAAATCTTTGAGTCGACGCATTCCAATCTCATGAACTAATTTCTTGAATTTAGATGTTGGCAGCGCTTTTGTGAATAGATCAGCCACATTGTCACTTGAGCAAATTTGTTGAATATCAATGTCAACATTCTTCTGAAATTCATGTGTATGAAAGAATTATGGAGAAATATGCTTCGTCCTGTCGCATTTGATATAGTCTCCCTTGAGTTGTGCAATACAAGCTGCATTATCTTCAAACAAAATTGTTGGACTATCTTTTGTTGAAGTCAATCCACATGATGATTGGATATGATGGGTCATATTCCTCAACTATACACATTCTCGCCCTGCTTCATGGATTGCAATAATCTCAGAATGATTTGAGGATGTTGCTGTCAAGAATTGCTTCACAGATCTCCATTATATAGCTATTCCTCCACATGTAAACACATATCCTGTTTGTGATTTAGCTTTATGTGGATCGAAAAGATAACCTGTACCTGCATATCCCATTAAAGCAGATCCTGACTTTTGAGAATAAAATAGTCCCGTATCAATAGTACCCTTTAGGTAACGAAAAATATGTTTAACACCATTCTAATGCCTTTGAGTTGGTGTAGAGCTATATCTTGCAAGGAGATTTACAGAAAAAAATATGTCAAGTAGAGTGCAATTTGAAAGATAAGTTAATGCTCCAATTGCGCTAAGGTATGGTACTTCAGGACCAAGAATCTTTTCTCCATCTTCAAGTGAACGAAATGGATCTTTTTTCACATCAAGTGATCAAACAACCATAGGTGATGGCAATAGATGTGCATTATCCATATAAAAGCGTTTCAAAACTTTTTCTATATAAGTAGATTGATGAACAAATAATCCCTCTGGAAATTGTTTAATTTGTAATCCAAGACAAAATTTGGTTTTTCCCAAATCTTTCATCTCAAATTCATTTCTCAAATAATCTGCAGTTTTGTTGAGCTCTTCAGGAGTTCCAATTAAATTTAAATCATCAACATAAACGGCTACAATTGCAAATCCAATATTTGTTTTTTTTATGAGAACACATGGGCAGATATCGTCATTTTTATAACCATCTTTCAACAAATATTCACTAAGGCGATTATACCACATGCGTCCGGATTGTTTCAATCCATATAATGATTTTTCCAATTTAATTGAGAACATAGTTCTCGGACATGTATCATTTATTCCTGACACCTTAAATCCTTTGGGGACTTTCATATATATGTCACTGTCAAGTGAACCATATAGGTAGGCAGTTACTATATCCATAAGGCGCATATCGAGCCCCTTTGAGAGCCTAAAAGTGATGGTATCCATTATGGGAGAATATGTTTCCTCATAATCAATTCCTGGTCTTTGGGAGAAACCTTGAGCCACTAGTCGGGTTTTGTATCTTGTAATTTCATTATTCTCATTTCTCTTTCGTACAAAAACTCATTTGTATCCAACAGGGATTACATTTTCAGGTGTTCGAACTACTAGTCCAAACACTTTTCGTTTCTCCAAAGAATTCAATTCTGTCTGTATGGCTTCTTTCCATTTTGGCCAATCATTTCTATTTCAATAGTCATTAACAGACTGTGGTTCAGGATCCTCATTTTGCATAATATCAAGAGTCATGTTAAAGGCGAAAATATTGTCTATAACAATATTATTCCGTTCCCATAATTTATGAGATATCATATAAT